GGACTCCCCCAAATCCAAGCCATGCATATCGATTCTGTAAGCTGTCCCCGAGCTAAAATAGGATATGCACATCACGATTCGATAGAAAAAGAACGCGAAATCGCATTCCAAGAAGGAAACCACTGTCAGTATGCTGCTTAATTAGAGGGAGATAGACAAAGCAAAGATCAGACACTCCAGAGCCGAGCGGCCATGTACGCGGTGGGGCTAGGCACGGGCGAGCGAGCCGAAGAGGCTCACCCCACGTGGCGTCATGGACATGTGCGCCGCCGTGTCCGCCTCGGGGGACCTCCTCGCCCTCGCGTTGTACGGCGACTGGCCCTGGGCGTTCGACTTTCGGGTGCTCGAGACGGAGGTGGCCGTGTTCCGCGCGGCTGACCCATCCCGCAGCGCCGTCGTGGTCGCGCGCGCAGGCGCAGACGCGGCGGCTGCGGCCATGGAGGCATCGTGGACATGTGCCCCGCCGTGTCCACCTCGGGCGACCTCCTCGCCTTCGTGTCATACGACGACTAGCTCTGGGCGTTCAACTTCCGGGCGCTCGAGATAGAGGTAGCCATGTTCCGCGCGGCCGACCCACGCCCACGTCGAGGCCCCGGATGGAGTCCTTGAGCGCCTCCACGCCGGCCACGAGCCCCTCGCTAGAAACGGAAGACGCGACACGGTCCAGCGGGACGGACACGGTCGCGCCGTCGTGGGGTAGTGGTCGCGCTGTCGAGAGATGGAGGGTTAGGGGAGGGGGAGGCGGGCGAGGGAGGGGTGGCCGCCGACGCCGAGAGACGACCGACGGCTGCGGCGGTGATAGGGTCATGGAGCTCGTCGGGGCTAGGGTTGCAGGGGGAAGGGGGGAGGAGCAGAGGAGGGGGAGGCCGGCGGGGGAGGGGCCGGTGCCGACGGCGAGGTGGAGCTCGTCTGGCTAGGGTTGGAGGCGGCACGGTCAGGTGCCTGTGCAACTAAGAAATAGAGATGGGGATGGGATGAGAACTGGAGATGGAGACGGGATAGGAGCCGTGCCGAGCATCCAAAACACGCGGCTGGGGAAAGAAGTCATTACCATGAAGTAATCAAAATAAGGTAGCTTTAGTTAGAGGAGAATAGCTGACAGCTAGTCGCGACAGTGCCGCATGAGCCATTTGTAAATGGCAATTAAACCATTTGACAAACAACTCACATATGTAGATGACTTTATATGTGTGTAACACTATAACAGGAGTAGTGCTATGCAAGTAGCGCATGCCAAATCTGAAGGAGAAAGTTCAAGGATGTTTAACGTTGTTTCGGCTAATTAATGGTATATACGTGTATATAGGCAAGAGTTGGAGGAGGAACGGGCGGCTCTGCATGCATGGGTGCAGATGCAAGTATGGTAGCCATATTAATAGCGACCAACCCCAACCACCGACCACCTCGGGAGCAACGTGCACGCAACCCAAGCCGTCTCTTAGATGCATGGATGCATGTGTAAGTACAAATGTTCCTACATGGTCGGTGAATTGTTTTTATCTGATGGTAAGGAGGAGAGGCATTAAATGTGTCCACCTGCCCGACTTGTTTTTATGTGATGGTAGCATGAAGGGGAGGCATTAAATGTGTCCACCTGCTTTCGAGGTGAAGATGTCCAGTGCTTTTAAATTTACTGAGTGGATTTCTGGATAGCTTAGGAAGGCACTCGTGCATACATGAAAATTTACTGCCTAGTATATATTGATAGTAAATTCATTAATGTAAAAGGAGAAGGCACATGTGATGTAAATTCCTCCTGTCATAGTAACTTTTTTATGTAAAGGACACGTGAAAGCACAGTGATGTAAACCCCATACCGTAGTAACTTTTTGCATGCAAAGTACACCTACAGTTTATATTGTCCTTGCATGCATGGTCATTCAATTTTTCATCTACTTCATTGAATGCGTCCACTTGATTCATCTATCCACTGCCGAATACATGGAGGAAGGTCGGTTGTGATGAGCTTTATCTGAGTCGTGGAATTTCTATCTAACGCACCAACTAAATGGAATATACGTGGACACCCTGAGAGGCCGCCTAGACAGGCGTGCCTTCGTATCTCTAATATATGAGTGGGGAAGATGCAGAAGCTGCATGCATCAAGTCCACCGCCGAAACCTAAACAATGCCGCTCTGGCAGCCTGCAACTTCTTGGATTTACATCAAGCATAGCATCTTTGAGTTCCAGGCATGAGTCGTATATAGGTCACAGACTCACAGTGAACAAGAATGAGATATTATAGTATCTGGACCCAAAAAAAATAGTAATAATTTGAGCAGAATTATCTAAACCATGAGGATGCCAGTTACCTCTGTTCAGACATGGCTCCCTTTGCTTTGCTCTATTGTCTATCTATACCACACCCTAATACCCACATCTTTTTCTACCTTTTTTTCCTTAAGCAGTTAAGCTTAGTTTATCTATGGATCCTTTTCCATGGCACTAAGCACTACTATGGTAGCATCATGAAGAAGCAAAAGCAGCAAGGCTTAAACAATAAGCACCTTGCAAAGTTATAGGACACTGCTAGCTAGCTAGCCTCCAAGGACAATCAAATGCACACTTGGTGGTGGACGGCCGGGCGGGAAACACACTGCGGCGGCGGCGCGGCTCCTCACGATGCTACGGACATGGGCATGGATTTCCTCTTGGCGGTCTTGCCGGGCGAGGACATTTCCGCCGCCCAGACGTCGACCTTGTAGTCTTGCACGAACCCGTCGACGAAATGGCGGAGGCCAACCTCGAGCGAGGTGGCGGTGGCGGTAGTCGGTCGCTGCGGCGTGGTGACATTGGCGTCGTGAGAACGGCGCGTCGCCGTTGGTCGGCATCGTCGTGACGACGCGTGCTTGTGCGCCTTCTTGCCGAGGAGCTTCTCGAGGATGGCGACCATGCGGGTGACGAGCATCGGCGAGGTGTTGCCGAGGTTGTACACGCGACCGCGGCGGGCCGCCGCTTCTTGCCGGACTTGGAACCCGTGCTCTTCTTACCGTGTGTCGAGCGCTACCGAGGTAGCCCCCGACGACGTCGTCAATGTAGGTGAAGTCGCGGCGCGCGGCGTCGGCGCCGTTGACGGTCTTGAACAACGTGATGGGCTCGCCGCCACGGCGATCTTTGCGGGCGAATGAGAAGTAGGCCATGTCGGGCGCCCCCACGGCCCGTGAAGCGGTGAAGAATCGCAGGCCGGTGATGGAGAGCCCGTAGATGTGGTTGTATCGTCGCGCAATGGCCTCGCCGGCCTTCTTGGTGGCTGCGTATAGATGCGCGACGCAGGCGGTCCGTCGCGGTGGTCCTCGGAGAAAGGTGCCTCGGTGTTGAGCCGTGACACCGACGACGACGACGCCCAAACGATCGCCGGTTGCGGGTCGGCGTGCCTTTTGCCGTGGGCTCGAAGAGCGCGACGAGGCCCGCGACATTGAGGCCACGTCGCCACGCTGCGCCGCGTCGCGTGGCGCCCGCTTTACTGGGCCCACGAGGTGCAAAGACGTGCGTGAACGCGGCACCGCGGATAGAGCCGCTCAGCAGCCGCCAGCGCGTCGTTGATGTCGGCGTCAAAGCACCACCACGTCGCGGGCGCCAGCCGCCTCGCCGCAGCGCGCCGTGAGGACGGGTCGTAGTAGGCGTTGAAGTTGTCGAGGCCGAAAAACGCGCCGCCGCGCGGCCGCGAGCGCCAATGAGCGATCTGCGCCCACGAAGCCGCGCGACGCCGTGGCGAAACACGCACGACGCCGCCGCCCGCTCCGCGGGTTTCACGCTGCGCACACCTCCTCTCTCCACACGCGCCCCACCCGTCATTTACAGCGATGTCCCCGAACCTAGCGAGCTCGGTCAAGTCTGCGAGAGACCGCGGCGAGAGGAGGAAGAGGAGTCTGCCGGGCCGGACGCGGCAACGCGGAGAGGTCAAGGAGTGGGAGAGAGCGAGACGGGTAGTGCAAGGTGAAGAGGACGATGAGCGCTTGGCGTGGCGAGCACGGTGGCGTGGAAGAGTCTGGTGCGACGATGCCGACACGAGTCGCTGGGCGCCGCCCAAGGCCGCAGCAGCAACGCCGCCTCTCACGCCTCGCGTGGGAGCCCGCCATTGCTTGAGGCCATGATCTTTGAGACCACAGCTGCCGGCTGCTGCCTGCATTGCCGCTTGCCCACCACGCCCTTGCCATGCCGCCCAGCCACCACCACCTCCGCATGGGGCCCGCCCTAGGTGATGCCGCCTGCGCTGGGCCCATGTCTTGCCGCCCACTAGAGCCTCCGCCGGATCCGTCCCCTCCGTATGCCCGCACCGCAAACAGAAGAGAGGGAGGGAGGAGCTTTGAGGTAGAGAGCGGAGCCAGGGAGAAGCGAGTGGAGAGGCAGATATTTTTCAGCCAGCCCAACCAGAGGTCGACAGCGAAGGCTGCCTTTATCTGAGATGGGTTGACTCACCACAGTTTATATTGTCCTTGCATGCATGGTCATTCAATTTTTCATCTACTTCATTGAATGCGTCCACTTGCTTTATCTATCCACTGCCGAATGCATGGAGGAAGGCCGGTTGTCACGAGCTTCATCTAAGTCGTGAAATTTCTATCTAATGCACCAACTAAATGGAACATACGTGGACAATCTGGAAGGCCGCCTAGACGGCGTGCCTTCATATCTCTAATAGAAAACAAATACTAAAATGAGTACCAGATACAGAAAGGGATCCGGAATATAACTGCGAGAATGCAACAATATTGTACGTCTGGGATAAGAAGACATACCTGAATGATTCAAGGTACGCTGAGATAGTATTTACATCAACTCCACACTGTACTGCACGATTTACCAACAGGTCAGGTATATGTATTCTTTGTGCTCCAGAAATGATCTCCTCACCTACGACATTAGCACATTGCTAAGTAAGTTTGGGCATTGATTCAAAAAAAAAGTTAAGTTTGGGCATGGAAAGGAAAAACACATTTTCTTAACTCAACACTGGTCCCACAAAAAACAGCATCACATCTTTGGTATTGAAATTATACTAGTATGTGGTAAGCAGACCTCGAATGAAGACATCAAAAGAATTGCTGTAAGCTGGGTTGTCATAACAAGGCATGGTGTAGAATGGACGGACAGCCAAAGGATATCCATAGAGAATGAAGAAATCCGTGCCATACCTACAAATAACACAGAAGGTTCACTTACAAAATAAAGAAACATAGTAGTTCAGCAACTGACTGGAAACAGATATATAACATAAAAGTAGGCATCTTAGGCTGTGCAGCAAGGCAACAATAAAAGCGAATATCACTATACAACAACTTATGCATATCAACAAGAATTAGTGAAGTATAAGTGGTGGAAAAATATAGGTCACCATGTTCGTTCTCAAAGTGGAGACAAGATGATTCAGGACTTTAGCTACAGATCTAATATCACTATACAAAGAGAAGAGGAGCAAAATAGCAAATAGAAGAATACCAGAGTTATCTTGGTACTTTGCAAATTGCACAGAACCAGATGACCAAGCTGGCCCATGATAGCCCTTGTTTAACCATGGGACAAGTTCACAACATGCCTACATAGACCCTCTGACCCAACATATATAGCACACGCATATTTCAAGATTCAAACTTCTTTGACAAACAATTAGTCGAACAATATGAAAAGTTTGTGCTACAGAAGTGGTTACTAGGGCTGGACGAAAAACTGAAGCTCATCAGCTCAGCTAGTTTATGGCTGGCTAGACTTGGCTCATTGCAATTACCTAAGCTAGGCTTAGCTTTCAGCTCATTAGAGATAATGGGTCAAGTCAAGCAGGCTTGTGAACCTCTCCAGAGCCAAACTAACAGGAGCGTCTAGCAACGGCAAACCAAAAACAGGCCCACACAAACAGCCCAATAGCCAGCAAGCCTAATCCTCCCCAAAACACTAAAAACTATCCGAGACCATGGGCCACCGGACCCATGTGACGCAACCAGCTGCCAGCTCTAGTCGTTTCTATTACTCCTTTAGGCGTTCCACGGCTATCCTCAAGTCAAGTGGAGCATGCATCCAGAGGACGATAAAATAAAACACACTTTTGATGCCACCAAATTAAAAATAGAGAAGAAGCGCAAAGGCTGCAGTTGAGGATATGCATCTGCAAATCGCACATCACCAGCTAGGCTCTATTCGGAAAGATTTATTGCTGCTGCGGCTGATTTGTAGGGCTGATTTGTTGTGAGAGAAAAATATTGTTTCATTGTTGAAAAAGTAGGGCTGATTCTGGCTTATAAGCTCAAGCGAACAGGGCCCTAGGCATCCTTGTCTCTATTCTCTGGCTCACGAAGTGGCTCAAGTTGGCAAACAAGCCGAACCAAGCAAGACTTCGCTCATTGGAACGGAAGGAGCACTTGGCATAGGATGGATCATCCCCACCTTGTCGTTAGAACCAAACACTACCTTTCAGTGTTGCCCACGTTCTACCATCGCCAAACAGAACACTAAATTATCATTTCTAAAAGTGGGAGCAACAAGCAACGTATGATAAACTTACTTTTCCTTGACAAGTTGACCAAGCTTTTTCTCAGCATCAGTATTGAGGTCATCCATAGGAGTCGTTGCTGTTCCAGCATCCTGTCAATTGGGACAAATTAGTCTACTTTTGTGTAGTCATGTTGATATGTCAGGGATAGCAGGCTTAGAGTTTATACCTTCAACATTTGAATTCCTTCCTCATAAGTGAGCTCCAAGGTTTGATCCAGATACTGCACGAATGGTTAGCGTATTTCAATTCATTAGCTTGAGCAACAAAACCAGATGACTGCATCATGATGAAAACAGTATAAAATAAGCACGAATGTTTTACCTTCAGAGGTTCAAATGGATACTGCTTATTTATTGCCTCAAGTTCCTCCTTGCAGTTCTCATTCAAGTGTTTAAATATCTTTTCTCGAACGTGCATTGGCACGGAATTCATTAAGCCGGAAGAGAAAGTTCAAAGTACATGACAAAGCGGCAGTAATCCAGTGATTACTGAGGCTCAACAGCCCAACGGCAGCACGAGATTGTAATTTACAGTTGGACGATTGGCGACCAGAGGCAAACGGCCTACAATAACGCAAGCAAGGACAGCAGGTGCTTGAAACCTGCCCGACACCACTCATCGACCTCCTCGTGGATCAAGCAAGCTAAGTTGCCCGGAGGAGTGGGTTCTCCGCCGAAAGTCCTGGCGTTCCTTTCTTTCCATAGTTTCCAACCGATAAGGAAGAACAGGGAATCAAACCCCATCCGCACATGCTTCTGGAGCAACTTCCTATTGCGCAGCCACCACTCTAGGACATCCTCTTCTTGGACAGGGATAACATCAGTGAGGTGAAGCCTGTCAAGTATGAAATGCCATACCTCTCTGCTATAGACACAACCGATGATGATGTGGCGCACTGTCTCCGGGAGTTGGTCGCAAAAGATACATCTGTTGGAGTCCTGAAGGCCATGGCGGAACCTCCGCTCCGCTGTCCAGCAGCAATCATGCATTACCAACCAGAAGAAGAAGTGTACTTTCGGCGGTGCTGATGTCTTCCAGATTTCCTTTGCTCCCAGCGGTCTGGATGACCCAAGGAACATGGCTCCATAAGCCGAAGCAGAAGAATAGGAACCATCCGCCGTGAGGCGCCAACGGAAGACGTCCGGAATTCCGGGGACGAGCTGCACATGCCGCAGCTTATGCCAAATCTGGAAGAACTCAGCAAGGACACGGACCGTGAACGCCCCGAGAGATGTGACGCACACCACGCATGTCCAGGAAGCGCGTCGCTGACCAACACCTTCTCCGTCTTCCCAACACCGCCCCAAAGAGTGCGGTGCCAACGCATGGATGCTCTTGCCGTCAATCCAATATTGGTCGAGCAGCGTCGACTCCTCGGAGCCCACGATCAAAACAATTGGCTGACAAAATAACGCGGACACCATCTTTTCATCGAGATCATGGATGGTGCGCCGCTTCCACTCCCAAATAAGTGCCACGAAGAGACGATATCGGCCCGGCGCAAAATCCACAACGCCCAACCCTCCAAGATTGCGCGGTAAGCAAGCAGGTTAATAGCGACTTTGCAAGCCCGCCGCTAGCAACCTGTCTCCACACCAAATGAACGCCACCGCCGTTTGTCGATCTGGTCCAGTACCAAGCCGAGAGGCAAAGCGCTATCGACATATGAACCGAATGGCGGACGGTGTGGCCTTGGCAAGCGCAGATCCTCCCCGCCGCATTAAGAAGCTTCCCTTTCCACCGGGGTATCCTAGCCATGACCGAATCAATCGACCTTACGTTGTCGCCTTCCCGAGCTTATAGATGGAGAGGGTATACCAAGATAGCGGCACGGAAGTTTGCAACCTTGCACGACAACGTTTCCTTGACTAGGCTCATATCCGGATCGGTACAACCCGATTGGTGTAGCCACACTCTTGTCCGAGTTCAAAAATAAGCCCAATGCCTCGCCAAACATGAGGAGAGCGCCTTGACGACTAGCATGTCCTCCGGCCTTGGGCACAACAAACATGACGACGTCATCGAAGATACAGAGCTGATCCTAGAAGGGAGACCAGTGATCCGAAGAGGCGTTAGAAAGCCTTGGTCATCCAGCCAACCGAAGAGGTGATTAAGGACCTCCATGATGAGGACAAAGAGCATCGGTGACAAAGGATCTCCCTGACGGACACCCCTGGCATGGCAGATTCTTCTCCCCGGTCTGCCATTAAGAATGATTTTGGTGCTTGTCGTGGATAAGATGCAAGAGATCCGGTCTCCCCACCGCTGACCGAAAGTGTTTAAATATCGACAAGAATAATCCATCAACAATATCACAAACCAACATAAAGAACCAATTCTTATAGTAAAAAGAAAGAAACTTCAATAAATGAAATGGATCACTATTATTCTAATCTTACTTAGAAATAGTGCTCCTTAATCTCCATTTCAGCATCAAGACCAATAAACTCTGAGAGATGCCTGTGTGTGCGAGAATTTTCTGCTCTAAACACAGGACCAAAACCTCGAATACACGTTCAAATCCACCACAAATAGCCATTTGCTTGTGTAACTGTGGAGATTGTGCTAGACAAGCAGGCTGACCATTGTATAAAAGATTGAATACAGCAGCACCGCCCTCACTGGATCCTGCAATCAGTTTTGGGGTATGGATCCCAACAAAGCCCTTGGACAATAAAAATTCTCTGAATTTCTGCATATGAACAGAAAAAAAAAGTTAACAGTCCAATGAAAAGATACATATACATAAATAAAAGAAAACTAACAACCCGTGGAAATGCTGGCACACTTACGTTTTCAACTTGACACTGAATTCAAAATATTGCTTGGTTGGACGGTATTCGTAGGTCAATGGCTCTATAATTCAATCGCGTATCTTGCCCAACACGAATAATGTTCTGTTGTTGTCCATCCTTCAATCATAGCAATAATCAAATCATAAGATAAGATTGTAGAAACCATAGGCAAAACAAAGCTCGAGCATAAAATTGCATTCTTCATTAAACAGAATGCGGACAATTCACATATAATTTAAAACAGTACACATGTTCAACCTTTTCAATCTCAATTTCACTCCGGGCTGCGTCTCAAAGTTCGTCGGAAGGGTCGGTATAGCCCTATTGACACAATAGATCTTCCTCACTTGAATCTCAACCTGCAAAGGCACCAAAAACCATCAATCAGCGCGGTTCCCTTTTTTTCTGGTGCGGTTCCTGATGATGACAAATGCCCACGAATATATATTGCAAAGGAGGAAAAGGTGGAACCTGCTCGGGAAGGGAGACAACACCCTCGACTTCGACGATTGACTCTACGCTGAGGGATGCCGTGAATCTCCCCATCTGCGTGCTGGTCCCAGCGTCGGCGCTAGGGACAAGCACGCATTGCACGGTGCTCATGCTCTGGCGCAGAACGAAGAGAAGACCATCATATTGCTGCTAACCTCTTGAGTGGCCGCGCGTACCAGCACGGAGCGGCCCACGGCGTCGGCATCGAGGTCGCAAACATTGGTCCACGAACGACCGGAGATGGCCTTAGACTGGATCTCCTCTAGTGGTATGTCGCCATAGTTGGCTTCGAACAGATCGTCGGAACCATGAGTCGGCTGCTGGTGCTGGTGCTACCGCCGCGCTAACTTCTCGGCCTTCCGGAAGATTTTCTTCTGTTGCTTCTTGCTGAGGGTGGCTGCTGATATGCGGGCTGTCCTAGCGGCGGGCCGGCGGCGATAGACGATCAACAACGATACGGCGGCGGCGTGAATGAAACAGAAAAGGAGGGGTTAGGGTTATATCAGGCGACGGGGTGAAAGTCTGCGTATCCGAGACAGTCACGGACTCACGGTCGGCCCTGTGTGATGGAGATGCCTGTACTCAGGACGTGTTTAGTTACAGTACGTTGAAATTTGAGGCTACAAGTTCGTTTTTATTTGATAATTAGTGTTTAAATATAGACTAATTAGATTTAAAATGTTCGTCTCGTAATTTTTCATCAAACTATATAATTAATATTTTTCGTCTACATTTAATATTTCATACACATGTCGCAAATATTCGATGGGATAAATACTATAGTATTTTTTAGGATTCTGGGTGAAACTGAACACGCGGTCAGTGCTAAATCGTTTGCTGGACTCCACGGAAGAAAAAAAAATGTCACCTCTTGGCTCTTGCTGCACTGTGCACTTTCTCATGCAGCGTTTCCACTCCGTCGGCGGCGTATATCCTATTTTTTAATTCGTCTTGAGTTCGAACTGTCTGAAATAACCGATTTTGCATCTGACACGTGGTTTCGACCGCTCCATTATGTTTTGGCCTGGTTTAGATTACAAGTTTTTTCACTCTCTCTTCATCACATCAAATCTTTGAACACATGTATAAAATATTAAGTATAGATAAAAAAATAACTAATTACACAGTTTAATTGTAAATTACGAGACGAATTTTTTGAGTCTAGTTAGGCCATGATTGAACAATAATTATCAAATACAAACGAAAGTGCTTGTCGGTGTTTTGGAACCGGGGGTCCCTCAACCAACGAGTGAATTTGTGCTGCGTGCCCCTAATCCCGGATGGTGGCGCAAAGAGACACAAGGTTTATCTTTGGTTCGAGCAATCGAGGCCCTACGTCCATCAGAGAGATCGATCTTGTATTCCTTGCACCGAGTGCTCGTAGTAGGGGTTACAAGCTAGGCGAGAGAGGAACTAGCCCCTGTGTCTCGGCGAGTGTGGTCTGCTGGGCTGCTTGAGGCGTTGTTCCCAAGCGGCGTAGGAGAGTGCGTGGTTCTATTCTGTCGCGTTAAATCTTTCCGCCCTCCTTTTTGAAATGGCCCCGATCCCTCCCTTTTATACTCTAAGGAGGGACCGGGACCGTGCTGCAGTGCTACATAGCTTACAGTAAATGGGGTGGCGTGTCCGAGCCACGTAATCGACCCTTTGTTGTGGTATGGTCGATGGAGTGGCCCGCCCTTGTCATCGCGGAAGTGACATGTCTTTGGTCATACTCGGTCTTGTGCGTCGTGGGGCTCCAGATGCGGCTTGATGCAGAGGACATGGCGGGCGACGTCTTTGATCGCCGTGTAATGACGTCGTGGGGAGCGGCTCTCTGAGATGCCGAGGCCGAGCCATCGTGGGGGGGCTCGGTGGTCATGGACCCTCGGGACTGCCGAGCCCGTGAAGCAAACTGTCGAGGCCTTGGGGGAGTTATTGGCCACAGGTGCGATTCCGAGGCCCACGATGAGCCAGACGTGGCTCCCCATGCTGCGTTGTCCTTGGAGCGGAGTTGGCGGCCACAAAGGAGGCATGGGTGTCAACCATGTGCACGGTGGATAGCATAGTGACGGGTAACCCCCCGCCATCCGGGACGTCTGAGTCATCGCGTGATGACGTCGTGAAGGGGTCGTGGGCTCTGTAGGTGCCGAGGCCAAGCCATCGCGGGGGCTTTGGCGGACATGGGTCCTCGGGCCGTCCGAGCCCCGGAGCAAGCCGCCGAGGCCTTGGAGGGAATTATTGTTCTGAGTGCGATTCCGAGAACACAAGATAGCCAGACGTGGCTCCCCATGCTGCGTTGTCCTTGGAGCGGGAGTTGGCGGCATAGTGAGGCATGGGCGTCAACCCATGTGCACGGTGGTTAATGCACGTGGCGGGTAACCCCGCCCGATCCCCGCCTCTCTGTCCCCATCGGCCATTCTGTTGTCTTGTCTTGCATGCGGTTGTTGTCGAGGCGCGATTAGGTGAGAGTTGATCGATCTGACGTTTTGCGGAGGGGCGGGAGAAGGAAGAGGTAGCGGAGTCTCGCCGAGCCCGCCTTTGCGCGAGACGGAGGGTCGGTGGCCTCGGCCGAGGCCTTTGGCGGGGAATCGACCGAGGCCCGCGATGAGGGGGCCTCGGGCGAATCGGAGAATCGGTGAGGTCCCATGGTGATGAGGCCTCAGGCGAGTCGGAGAATCGGCCGAGGCCAGCGGTGATGAGGCCTCGGGCGAGTCGGAGAATCGGCCGAGGCCATGATGATGGGGCCTCGGGCGAGTCGGAGAATCGGCCGAGGCCAGGCAGCTGTTAGCCGGTTTCGATCTTCTGAAATCTAAGCGGTCATTTTTTGGATCTTGCTTAGGGTACCCCTTCTCACGGTGTCCGAGCAAGAGCCCCAAGAGCCTTGGGGGGTGGAGCACACTCCCCGAGGTTCGGCGAGAATTGGCTCTTGATAGCTCCTGTCGGGATGGTGTTTTGTTTTCGAGGTTTGGTGGGTGCTGGCAGGCCTCTGGCCGGTGTAGCCCGAGGCCTGGAGGAGTGATTTTACTTCTTGGGGCTTTTTCTCTTTCGAGTGAGGCGTTTTGATCGTGTTTGCCGGGCCCGTGGGTGCGAGTTCGGATCATGGGCCTCGGCGATGTTCTTGGAAAGAGCCCCTTAGCCTCCGCCTGAGGCGAGAGGGG